ATTCCAGATGAGCTATTTCAAATCTTAAAAGATGATGCTGTGAAAGTGCTTTACTCAATATGCCAACAAATTGGGAAAACTCAGCAGTGGCCACAGGACTGGTAAAGGTCAGTTTTCATTCCAATGCCAAAGAAAGGCAATGCCAAAGAATGCTCAAACTACTGCACAATTGCATTCATCTCACACACTAGCAAAATAATGCTCAAAATTCTCCAAGTTAGGCTTTAACAGTATATGAACTGTGAACTTTCAGATGTTCAAGCTGGACTTAGAAAAGGCAGAGGAACCAGAGATCAAATTGCCAACATCTGCTGGATCATCAAAATAGCAAGAGAGTTCCAGAAAAACATCTATTTCTGCTTTATGGACTATGCCAAAGCCTTTGACTGTGTGGATCACCACAAACTGGAAAATTCTTCAAGAGATGGGAATACCAGACCACCTTACCTGCCTCCTGAGAAGTCTGTATGCGGGTCAGGAAACAACAGTTAGAACTGGACATGGAACAACAGACTGGTTCCAAATCGGGAAAGGAGTATGTCAAGGCTGTATATTGTCACCCTGCTTATTTAACTTATATGCAGAGTACATCATGGGAAATTCCAGGCTGGATGAAGCACAGGCTGGAATCAAGATTGTTGGGAGAAATATCAATAACATCAGATATGCAGATGACACCACCCTTATGGCAGAAAGGGAAGAACTAAAGAGCCTCTTTTGGAAGTGAAAGAGGAGAGTGAAAAAGTTGGCTTAAGGCTCAACAGTCAGAAAACTGAGATCATGGCATCTGGTCCCATCACTTCATAGCAAATAGATGGGGAAACAATGGAAACAGTGACAAACTTAATTTTTCTGGGCTCCAAAATCACTGCAGATGGTGATTGGAGCCATGAAATTAAAAGACACTTGCTCCTTGGAAGAAAAGATGATCAACCTAGACAGCATATTAAAAAGCAGAGACATTACTTTGCCAACAAAGGTCCATCTAGTCAAAGCTATGGTTTTTCCAGTAGCCATGTATGGACATGAGAGTTGGACTATAAAGAAAGCTGAGCCCCGAAGAACTGATGCTTTTGAACTGTGGTGTTGGAGAAGACTCTTGAGAGTCCCTTACACTGCAGGGAGAGCCAACCAGTCCATCCTAAAGGAGATCAGTCCTGGGTGTTCACTGGAAGGACTGATGTTGAAGCTGAAACTCCAATATTTTGGCCACCTGATGTGGAGAACTGACTCATTGGAAAAGACCCTGATGCCTGGAAAGATTGAAGGCAGGAGGAGAAGGTGACGACAGAGGATGATATGGTTGGAAGGCATCACCTACCAGATGGACATGAGTTGGAGTAAACTCCAGGAGTTTGGCAATGGACAGGGATGCCTGGCATGTTGTAGTCCATGGGGTCACAAAGAGCTGGACATGACTGAGGGACTGAACTGAACTGAACTGAACTGAAAGGCAATTGAGAGCCAAAAGTTACAGAAAAAGCTCTTTACTTCCCCCTAACTGCCTAAAAATAGTGTAACAAAGTCCCTTTTTGTGCTGGACATATACAGTTAAAAAGGAAATTTCCACTTATAAAGGTCTCTCATCAGAGAAATAGCTGCACCCAGAGACAAGTCTTATCACCTGAGAGACTTATTTGCATAAGGAATCAACCCTTAGTTATCTATGGTTCCTCCCTTCTCCTTTCCACAACCTGCCTCCTCCACCCAGAAGCCGCAGCTCTTTTGTTTAGCTTGAAAGTGTTAGTCTCATAGTGTTGACTTCACAACCCCATGGACTGTAGCCCACCAGGCTACTCTGTCCATGAAATTCTCCAGGCAAGAATACTGGAGTGGGTAGCAGCTCCCTTCTGCAGGGGATCTTCCCAACCCAGGGATTGAACCGGGTCTCCTGCACTTCAGGCAGACTCTTTACTCTCTGAGCCACGAGGGAAGCCCTAAGATGGTATATAAGCCTCAATCTGACCGCCTCCTTGAGTTTTCATTTCCTTGTAAATCTCTGTGTCTATGTGCATGTGTGCATGCTAAGTCACTTCAGTTGTGTCGGACTCTGTTCAACCCTCTGGACTGCAGCCTGCCAGGGTTCTCAGTCCATGGGATTCTCCAGGGAAGAATACTGAAGTGGGTAGCCACTCCCTTCTTCAGGGGATCTCCCTGCCCCAGAGATCAAACCTGCATTGGCAGGTGGATTCTTTACCTCTATAGCCACCTAGGAAGTCACTATATGTCTATGTATATAAGCAAATCTGTTTTGGGTTTTTTTTTTTCTCTCTCTCTTTCTAAACTTGTTCTTATTAGTTTAAGGGGGGAGGGGGGGCAGCCAGTTAACCTAGGAAGGTAGAGGAAAAAAATGGGTTTTCCTTCCCTTTGTAGGCAAAGCCCCTGGGGATGACTGAGACCAGAGAATCTGAAGGTAGCTCACAAGAACTGTCTGATGAATATAGATAGTAAGTAATAAACCTGGGGTTGAGGCTCTGGCCGCCTGGCCTCAAAGTCCATCCATTTCGTTGAACTTGAAATAATTTATTAAATTCTTTGGAGAACATCCCTGGTAGTCCAGTGGTTAAAACTCTGTGTTTCCATCAAAAGGGGCACTGCTGTGATCCCTGGTCAGGGAACCAAGATCCCACATGCCAAGTGGTGCGGCCCAAACAGACTCTTTGGTAACTTGCTTTGTGTCAGTCTCTTCAGGAAGCCTGGGCTCCTCTGGTGGCTCAGATGGTCAAGAATCTGCCTGCAATATAGGAGACCCAGGTTCAATCCCTGGGTTGGGAGGAGCCCCCTGGAGACGGAAATGGCAACCCACTCGAGTTTCCTTGCCTGGAAAACTCTGCAGACAGAGGAGCCTGGCAGGCTACAGTCCGTGGGGTGTTGGTAGCAAAGAGTCTGACACAACTGAGCAACTAATACTTTCAAATGTAACTTAGTACAAGTCAGCTATTGGAACCAATACTGCCTGAGAGCCTGCTAAGAATCAGGCTCTAAGCTACACACGGTGCCTGTTAGTCCTTGCAACAATGCCGCTGAGAAATCAGGAAGCCTCTTGGGCCTCCCAGATGGCGCTAGCGGTAAAGAACCCGCCTCCTCATGCTGGAGACCAAGAGGTGTGGTTTCAATCCCCGAATTGGGAAGACCCCCTGAAGGAACAAATGGCAACCCACTCCAGTGTTCTTGCCGGGAAAATCCACGGACAGAGGAGCCTGTGGGCTGCAGTCCACAGGATCACAGAGAGTCGGACATGACTGAGCAACTGAGCACGCATGCAGTAAATACTCCAGAAAGCCTCTTGAGGAAAAGACAGTGTCTATCTTATCCGCCATTATATCCTCAACAAGGAACTCATTGCCTGACCCAAGGAGATGCCCGATAAATATTATAGCATGAATGAATTAAAAAGGGTCCCTACATGAGAAATGGACTTTAATGGGCTATTGTCCATGTCATTATTCAAAATAAAAACACTATCGAGTTACTAAATGGACAAATGAGAAGTACTGGCAAGTGAAGGTAATAGGAAGGCATAAAGCTTGCTCAACTTGTTTTCCAACTCTAGGAGACTTGAACTATAGGACATCATTCAGGAAACAGGAAGGAAGCAAAATCAGGAATTCCTTAGGAAGTTCCAGAAAGGAAATATAAAGAAACTGGCACATTGTATGACATACAGTAAGTTAGATAAAGATGGTTTTTGAAACTGTGAACCTACAAATGGCTTACAGAAGTCCAAAAGTCCTGTATAGCATCACACAAAAACGTGCTTCTTTACATCCACATGCAAATTTCTAGACAATGATTTGTCTCACATTTAGGAAGAAATCCATAACCGCCACATAGTTAGGAAACACTGATTGATTACAGCAACTATAGATTATCTAGATGACATTCTCAGTTTGCAAATAAAGAAATCAACTCCCCCAAATGTTGTGGGACCTGCTGAACAGGCAAACAATAAACTAGGTAACAAGAAGAACCAGAAGTCGGGTCTCTCAATTCCCAAGCCTGTATTCTTTGCTGTGCCTCAACGCCTCCCTGAAATTAAGTCAAATACTGTGCAAAGAAAAAAAAAAGCTTAATTTCTTGGAAAAACAAAGAAGAAATCCAAAAAGATTAATTACAAAGGTAAAAAGCAACAGAACCATTAGGCTGAAGGAACCCCGAGGTGCACCTAGTATTTCCCCAATTTCAGGAGAAACACCTCTAAATATTCCGGAATGTTTGTTTTTCAAGGTGGTTAAGGACTGTGAAAGAAAGAAAAGTGAAGTTGCTCAGACATGTCTGACTCTTTGCGACCCCAGGGACTGTAGCCTACCAGGCTCCTTTGTCCATGGGATTTTCCAGGCAAGAGTGCTGGAGTGGGTTGCCATTTCCTCCTCCAAGGACTGTGAAAAAAAAGACCAAAAAAATCATTCAGTCATTCATCTGAGAAACAAAAAGAACTAAGTTATCTTTATTCAAAACATAAGTATGAACGAATATATATCAAAGTTATCCACACACACAAAAATTTTAAGACTAATAAAAGCATAAGGTGACAACTATCAAAGTCTAAGGCTTATCTATGACACGAAGTATAAAAGCCACACAGTTTGCTCATAAATACTAAGAAAGCAAAGCATTATAGACATTTGATCATCTTTCACAATGTGATCTCAAAGATAAAGTAAGTAAATGAAATCCACGCCCCACCCCCCACCCCCCGCCAGTCCTCATGTTCAGCAATTAATCAACTTTTGCTCAGAAAATATCAGGCTATTTGAAGACCTAAATTCAAATCTTGCGTTTGCCACTAATTCTCGAACTTGGACAAGTCAACGTCTCTGGTTTTCAATTTTTTGATCTTCAGAGAGGAAAAATTTTCAAGCCTTTTTTTTTTTTTTAACGTAAAAAAGGTTTCATTTGCAGGAGAGCCGGACTCGAATCAAACAAGCCAACCCCATGTAGTCACGTGACTCCTCCCCTTCCTCTCCGCCCGCGGGCACGCTGGCCAGCTTGGCGATACCCTAGACCATGACGTCCTCAGTGTTCTTTCCGATCAGCTCACTGCTGACCTTGTTGAGCCGGTCGTCATCTGTCTGGATGCACACACCGTCCAGGATCTTTTCCATGTCCTTGAAGCTGGGGGAGGAATTGCCCCCGCGGGCTGCAAGCAGGTAGGAGGTCACGTAGCGCAGAGAAGCCTTGCACGTGAGACCTCTGCAGAGTCAGGGATGGAAAGCCCAAGCTATTTTCGATTTTTTTTAATTTAATCTTTTTGGTTACCACTCATAGTAAGATAAGTTTCATATTATCTGCATGAATAAACATAAATGATTATAACTGAAACAAACTTTCCTGAAAGAGTATCGACCCTATTCAAGGCACCCTGGAATTTTCTATTCTATTAGACTAGGTCCCCGTTTCTTTTTTAAAAAATGCAAGTCATGACCCATAAAATTGATTTCATGACCTACACGTGGGTCACGGCCTACAGTTTAAAAAACATTATGAAAAACATGAAAGTCACTAGAAGCTTTTTTATTCTACTAATAAACTCTCTGCGAGAACCACAGGACAACAGTAAAATCAATTTACTTGAATGTCTGTTTTCACTCCCCACCTCCATGTTGAAGGTGATGATAGGTTGTGATGAAGAATTACTGGTGGGAAAGGGAAAGGAGGAGATCTGAGCATCCATGAAAGGAAATTCTGCCCATAAATAATGTAACACTGACCCTAGAGAAAAAGAAGACATTTACAACTAAATCTGAAAAGTTTTCACTGATATTTGTAAAGACTTCCCATGATCTGTTTTCAGAGCTTCTTACGAGAATGCTTAAGAGAAGGAAGAGGCTGAGGGGATAGGAAGGAGAGAGAAGAAGAAAAAGAAGGAAGGGAGAAAAATGGGTAATGCTCTGTGTTGGTGGATGTCCTAACCCCTCTGACCTTCATAGGCGCTAGGCTCAGCTCTCATGAGAAACACCCTCTGTACGTGTGAATGAGGATCTTCTGAGTCATGTCAGTGGCCCCCACTGCTAGAGCACTCCTTTTAAATCATTAATACAAATCTGATCATTATATTTCTGCTTAAAGTTCTTCAGAATAACCTGCACCCTTCAGCATGGCACACAAGTCATTCATAATCTGATCACATCTGATCACACATCCCCCCTACCCGCTTCCCATCATCCCCGCCCCCTCCTCCCCCAACATCATCAGTTACATCAAGTCCCTGGAGTTCCCCAAGGTCCATTATCATGCCTCTAATTGTTTTTTTCAACTCTTTTCTCTTTCTAGAATGCTCGTAAGAGCTTACCTCTCCAGGTTCTTCAAGTCTCAGTGCACATGTCCTCTCTCCATCATTGCCCACCTGGTCTGTTCTCTAACACTGTGCTTACCCCAATCACAGATGCTAAGGCCATGTATTGCAGTATGTTTATCTTCCCCCTAGAGCATGATGACCTTGAGAGCAGGGATCATGTCCACCCTATTCAGGGGTGAACAGTGCCCAGCACATGGTAGAAATTCCACAGATATTTGTTAACTTAATGAATATGAATAATGAAGGACTTTCTTGTGTTCTACCTGTTTCAAATGCTGAGAGTGAGTGAAAGTTCTGAAATTCAGTGACGATGCTTGCCAGTCAAGTGTAATCAGATTAAGTAGATAATCCTCCAGTCTTCCAACAAAGCCTTAGCTAAATTTTTACATAACAAGTAAAGTGTGAGCGATCTCTGGTTTAAAAAGATAATGATTAATCAGAATGGGAACATGAAAATTGAGAGCATGATGTCTTAAAAAAATCCCTCCAAAAAAGTTGGAAATTAAAAGTGGAAAGTAGTCAGAAAACCGAAGTGGAGAGTTACCATATTTTAGAAAAATTTAGTATTTCAGCTATATCCCCTTTTTTTAATGGTAAACAGATAAATTTTGCTAATGGTAAAAATCATATGTGTGAAAGAAAGGAAAACACCTCTAAAACTTTAGCTGTAATCTTACTTTGATTGTTAAAAGAGTATGATTTTATTAAGATGATAAATCCTTGGTGTGAAGAATAAGTAATGTGGGATCAGGATAATTAATTTTTAAATATGGTAAAGTAAGAGAGGGTAAGTTAAAACTAACAAGGAAAAAATAAGAGGAACAAAGATAATGAATTTAGCCCAAGGAAGGAAAAGAATAAAATATCTAAATATTAGAAAATGAATAGGACTTCGCTGGTGGTCCAGTGGTTGGGAATCTGCCTGCCAATCCTGGGGACATGGATTCAATCCCTAGTCCGGGAGGATCCCACATGCCACGGAGCAACTAAGCCTGTATGCCACAACTTGCCAGATTTGTGCTCTAGAGCCTGTGCTCCGCAACAAGGGAAGCCACCACAACGAGAAGCCTGTGGACCTCAACAAAGAGTAGCCCCCTCTCGCCAAAACTAGAGAAAAGCCTGAGCACAGAAATGAAAACCCAGCTCAGCCAATACATTAATAAATAGAAAGCAGCCTTTTAAAAGAAAAAAAAGAAAATGAACAGAAGCCAAACATAAGCCCAAAATAAGGAGTAAAAACAGATCATGATTCTAGAACAGCCAGGCAGACCCTTCTGGTATTGAAGTCATCTTAGATCTGGTGTTTTAACAGGAAACACAAGAAGACAGCTAAGAAGTAAAAAAGCATGCTTCCACTAAATTTCTGATAAAATGCAGGTAAGGGACGTGGCTTAAATCTCCTTGCCTCTGTGACACACAGGATATCTCAATTAGATGATTTCTTTTCATTTCCTAAAGAACAAAGGAACTGAATAAAGTAAATGCATTTATTGTTCATCAGAGAAAATAAAAAAGTCAGATGCCAGAAGTATTTCTCAGTGATTCAAATTCAAATTCTGATCCTTGGGGAACGCTTTGAAAAAAATCTATGAGCACATGAAAAAATACCAGTAAAATTATATGAATTCATGAGGATAATTCAAGATACTGATATACTTACACTTTCATTTTTATTGGGGTTTCATCCTAAAAATTACAGATGGCTATCTGTCAATGACTGATTTTGGAAATTTTTTGACCTATATGCCTTATCAAAAGCTTCTACAATGAAAATGTACTACTTCATTACAATAGTAAGGAAGAAAAATCCCCTGACTTCCAAAAAGTCTGAGTCGAACAACATCTAAAAATTTGGTTTATTTGATCTTTTGTGATAGAAATATGAAAAATTTGACCCCATCAACTCAAATGATTGCTCAGATAATCTCCAGGAAATCAGAAGAGCATCAGATCCAACCTCTTGAACTAGAGCTCAGAGGACACCATGCCAACAACGGTGATGGCTTGCATAATGCTTCCTTCTGGGCAGAGGTGAGCTTTTATTGTTGTTACTTGACAATAAGTAATCAAGTATGGTTAGGAGATTTTTAACTAATTTAGTTATTGACTGTATTATTACCAATTTCCTTGGCTCAAAAAACAGAAACCAACTCAGCTTGGACTTTTTTTTTAAGTGGGTTTGCTTTTAAGCACAGAGAAAACTCATATAGACACTACTCAATCAGCTCGTGGGAGCTGAGGATAAGAACTGGTAAGCCGTCAGCCTGGAAGCCATGCACTGTAAGCCCTGCAGCCCCATGGCCGCTCTTCTTTGCCTTTTTCTTCTGAATGTCTGTCCCCATGCCTATCTTTGCAGACCAGATCCCTTTACTTATTCAGTATTTCTGCTCTTCTATGATTTTGGCCTGCACATGGCTTTTTGTAGCCCATAGAACTGACCCCAAGGATGGTGCTACATAATAGATAGGTCCCTCAAGTAACACAGACTCTGAGAGACCCAGTTCCACATTGGTTCCAAGAGAAGCTACCGATTGTCTCAGCTTGGGTGAGGTATACATAATCCCTCTTCCAGTCTGCCATGGAAGAGGAACCAGCACACATTGTATCCATGTGGCCACATAGGTTCACCTCTTCCCCAGAGGCTTTCCCGGGGCTCATTTCCAAAGAAAGGGACTTTGTGCTAAAATGCATCCAAAATGTTTGTATTATGTTTTACTGTGCAACATTGGATGAATCATAATATTTAGTAATGCGATGAACATATTACTGTGTAGTTTTTCCTTGCCTCTCCCCACCCGGTCACCACATAACCCATTATTCCTTGCTTTGACTGCCAAGAGCCCCAGTCCCAAACTTTTCCTCACAACTACTAAGCCATCTCCAAAAGCATCTGCTCTCTTTCTCCTCATCCACAGTCTTATTCTTATTTCAGCCTGCTGTTTGCTGAAAGACAGATAATTCATACTAAAGTAGTTACGACTGATGAAGTAACTTTACAGCAAGCCATTCATCTTCTCAGTGACTTCATTTACTTAATCTCTAAAAGTGACAGGGCTTGGATTGACTCTTAAGTAATTTTCTAGTATAATACAACTTTTTAACTTCCAAAGATTCTCCCCTACAAGGCTATTTGCATTTTTAAAGAGCATTCTAAATGGTAATAATAGTTAACATCCATTTAGTGTTTATTATATACCAGACAGTTTTCTAAGAGCTTTACATATAGTAATTACTTTAATCCCTGATAGCTCAGCTGGTAAAGAATCCACCTGCAATGCAGGAAACCTGGGTTCGATGGGAAGATCCCCTGGAAAAGGGAACAGCTACCTACTCCAGTGTTCTGGCCCGGAGAATTCCATGGACTTTATAGTCCATGGGGTCGCAAAGGATCAGACATGACTGACTTTCACTTCACTTCACTTTACACTAACCCAGGTAATTTGTTGTTGTTCAGTCACTAATTCATGTCTGATTCTTTGTGACCCCATGGACTGTAGCCTGCCAGCCCCCTCTGTCCATGGGATTTCCCAGGTTAGGATACTGGAACAGTTTGCCATTTCCTTTTCCAGGGGATCTTCCCGGACCAGGGATTGAACCTATATCTCCTGCGTTGGCAGGCAGATTCTTTACCACTGAGCCACCAGGGAAGCCCACCCAAGTAAAAGAGTGTGTTAATTAAGACTATTTTAATGATGGTAAGGGTAACAAATGAAAATTATATACCTTAAACAAAATTCTAGCTTATTTCCCTCTCACAAGCCAGTGTGGGTCCTGATCTGTGGGTGGTTTTCTCCCATTTGGTTCAGGAAACCAGGCTTTCCTCTCCCCTTTCTCAGGTTTGCCATCTCCTAGATCTCAGTTTTATCTGCTTTCAGATGTAAAAGGAAAAAGTATG